AGAAACTTGGGGCTCTTTAAGGAATGGCTATTGGTCCAGACTATCTGAGGCATAAGATTCAAATTGACAATATTGGGGGGGCAAGGAGAGGCTGGAAAGGAAGATGGTGCCAGATTATAGATGGCTCTGCATGGCAGGTCTCAGTTTGAGTTTAGGGTCTGAGTACATGTAGTTTACTGGAGAAATGATCCTGATCCTGTAAAGTATGGGTTGGGGTGGGAGTGGTGGGAGTGGAGAAGGCATAGGGAAGTGAGACAAGGAAAAGGAATAGTAAGTGAAATGTTGATTAATGATCTGCTTACCACATTGGGCAATGGGGTGCTATCCCACCAGAAGGCCTCTGAAAGCCTGTGTAGAACACTCCTCAGAATTGCCTCTCCATGGGATAAGAACTCCCATTCCTCACTGGTTGAGCTAAGGGTCCACAGGCCATTGTGCAAGCACTGCAGTGACTAAGGTCAGAGACTGGCCAGGTCATCCTAACCCCTCATCATTCATTGCTTTCTCTGTGCTGAAGTCTCTCTGGTGGGCACTGACATGAGACTTAAGGATAAGCTAGGGAAATCCCACTTCATTGGGAGGAACCATCATTGAGAGATTTGGAGCAGGCGAGTTGCCTACTCACAGCAGCTCTTTCTGGCATCTCCACTGTAGGCTGGGACTCTACAATGTTGTGTGAGGTGGCCCCAGCCTTTTCTGCCACTGAAACTAGACATTTTCTTGGTGACAAATCTGCTTTACTCTAGACCTGCAAATACATACGGGAACAAACTATATAGAAGGGGACAGTTATGAGCCCAGGGAGTATACCTGGGGTGCGTCTCTGAACATCTTAGTGTTTCCCTTAATTCATCTCTCTCCTCCTTAATAGAAAGTTTCTCAGACATCGATATGTCTCTTTTTCCTAAGGAATGTGTCTTGTGGCTATTCTTCCACTTCCTCCTCCACCTCCACCCTTGCACAGACTCCTGCGTGACAGGCTGCCTTCCCCTCTGAGCCACCAAAGGAGGCTAGAGACCTCTCCAGGTTCTCTTTCCCTCACCGTGCCTGGGGCAGCTTCTTTCCTGGCAATTTGAGCAGAGAGATTCTCCCAGAATCTTGAGTTTTCACTGAGCTATTTTTTTTTTTTTTTAATTTCAGCCTTCCATCTGGACTTCTAAAGTTTCCCTTTTAGCTGCTTAAATCCTGAAGCCATTTTGGCTTTAAGCAAATATTTGCCAAACACTTTCTGTGCTCTGGGGACCAACAGATGGAGACATCCTTCCTGTTTTCTCAACAGAAATGAACTCAATGCACAACTCAATTTAAATCAGTAGACATGTGATGGGAATCTATGTGCCAGATACTCTTTCAGAGTTGGGGGTAGTGTAGGCATAAGAATGCTTTTAGCCGCAAGTTAAAAACTCTAAAGTGGCTTTTTAAAAATAAAATTCATTATCACGTAATGTCCTGTAGTACCACATGATTTTACACATATGTGGAATCTAATGAACAAAATAAACTGATGAACAAAATAGGTCTCAGAGACATAGAAGCATAGAACAGTCTGTGGAATCTCAGAGGGAAGGCAGGGGTGGGTGAGATCAACCAAAAAACTTGTATACATATATGCATAACCCATGGACACAGACAATAGGGTGGTGAAGGGGGCAGGCTAGAAGGCGTCAATGGGGGGGAAAGGGACATATGTAATACTTTCAACAATAAAGATTTAATTTTATAAAAGAAAAAGAAAGGGACAGAATAGAGGGTGAACCTTATGAGCATTAAGGTCTTAATGAGATTAATATTGTTAGACTCAAGCTATGAATATTGGGAGTGAAGGGGTGGATATCTATGCCTTGCTATTGACCCTCGGTGATGGAGGTGAGGACAGTGGGAGAGGTATGGCCTTGGTCGAAGTGCATGAGGCTCTCTCTAGGCCTCTGTTCTGGAAGCTATGTGTCTGAGCTTGCAGGAGCATCACATAGCTCTCCCTGGCACAGCCTTTGGAAAACCTCACTATAGCTACTGAAAGGGGATGGGAGAGTAACATTCTATGTCCAGTACGTGCTTCTTGTATGTTATCAAATTTAATCACCACAGCATCTGTGTAACACTTAGTGTAATTATTTTTATTAAAACCACTTTGCAGATGTGAAGACAGATCTTTGATGCTCCTTAGGTGTTTAACTGCTTGCTATCTAGCATCACGAGCAGACACTGTGCAGAAGAATAAAACTCCTGATGTGCCTGAAGGTAGTGACTTTAGACCACTGGGATTTTGTGGTGTCTTCTTTACCCTCCATCAGCTCTTGCAAGACACGTATTTTTAGGAGAGAAGACAGTCTTATAATGAAGATATGAAGAAGACTATTCTGAGTGCTAGACCCAGTAGGCCTGGGGTCAAGGGGTATCCCAGGAGGGACCCTAGAATGAGAGCAGCTCTGGAGGGAAGGCCAAGGAACCTATACATACCATCATCATGAGAAAATATTTGCTGTACTCCAAAGACACAACATTAAAATACCCTCCTCCAACACAACCTGGTCTTAAATCAGACACTTCCTGCAAACACACAATTAGGGATTTTCCCATAAGAGCTGTTATCTTCAAGTGCATCAAGACATGAAAACTCAGCAGCTAGAAAGATTTATATACTTCTTTAAATATCTCCCAAGGACAGCACAGGGAAAGTTCATTTTAAGGTTTGTTTAATAGTTTCATGAACTTCTATCACTTGGAGAAACAATCAATTTTTCTGTGACATTGGGAGGAGGTTCTCAGAGAGTATCCATTTGAGAACTCAATGAATTACCAGCATATTTTGCAGTTGAGAGCTCAACATTTATATATATAATACTAGAGGCCCGGTGCATGAAATTCGTGCAAGAGTAGGCCTTTCTTCCCCCTGGCTGTCAGCACCGACTTCCCTCTGCCACCTGGGACTGAGCTTCCCTGGCAGCCCCGGCTTCGTCCCAGAAGGAGGTCCAGTCTAATTAGCATATTATGCTTTTATTATTATAGATGTAGGCAATCTGGATAAGATTTATGATTTTTTAAATTTCACAAATTTATTTCCAAAGTTAGAATTATAGGCACTCCTTGGGTATATTTTCCTTCTCCTGGTAACAACACAATTTCTTTTTTTTTTTTTTATTGCTTAAAGTCTTACAAAGGGTATTACATATGTGTCCATTTTATCCCCCCGCCCTAGACAGTCCCCTAGCCTCCCCTATCCCCCAGTGTCTTATGTCCATTGGTTATGCTTATATGCATGCATACAAGTCCTTTAGTTGATCTCTTACCCCCCTACCTCTTGCCCCCCAACCCTCCCCGGCCTTCCCGCTGCAGTTTGACAATCTGTTTGAGGCAGCTCTGCCTCTGTATCTATTATTGTTCAAAAGTTTATAATGGTCTCTATTATCCATGAATGAGTGAGATCATGTGGTATTTTTCCTTCATTGACTGGCTTATTTCACTTAGCATAATGCTCTCCAGTTCCATCCATGACGTTGCAAATGGTAAGAGTTCCTTCCTTTTTAGAGCAGCATAGTATTCCATCGACAACACAATTTCAACCCAAGTATTTAATTTAAATAATTCATTTATGCAGAAGAACCCATGAAATGTAAATGAGCATGTTCCCTAATTACCATTTCTGTTGACCACCTTATAGCATCATTCATGGTTGCAAACTGCAAAGCCTTTAACCAAAACAAGACCCAGGGAGGCTTTCAAGGACCAGGGTAGCAAGTATGGGCTCAATAGGAAATGAGAATCATAACTTACCGTTCTGGAGTGCCTGAACTGGAGAGAAGGGAAAGCTATCAGCCATGGACTACCTATTTTCTTGTCTCCACGGGTTTGTACCATGCATAGTGGGAGGTGCCTGACCCCTCCCCTTCCCAGCACACGGACGTGTAATATTTATATTAATATCCACACATCCGGCCATTCAAGCATCCAGGCATATTTACACAAATAGAACACACTGGCACATAGACCGTGTGTGAGTTCCACACCACTGCAGTCTGTGCTTTGTCTCGCTTGGGGTCACCCATTACTCGAGTAAGCACCTGCCCCTGTGACCGCTTCCCACCCTGCAGGGGTTCCATGTGAGCAGAGAGCTGGCAGGGTCAGGGACTTGAGAAAGCCCAGCTTCCAGACAGGTCTAGGCTGCCCCGATGGAGGGGGCGGAGAGGTGGAAGAAAGGAAGGGGCGGTCCGCAGAGGACCACGCCCTTCTATGTCCAGGCCCTTTGCAGAGCCAGACTTGGATGTGGCCTGGAGGAGGTAGGGTGATCCTGAGCGGCCAGGTCCCGCTGCTTTGAAATGAGGAATCTCGAGTTGGGGTCTCCAGCAGGCCAAAGGGCGAGAATACAAACAAAATTACCGTGTTTTTAAAAATTAAATATTCGGTCGTCTGCCCCCCTACCCCGCCACCCCAAAGGGCCGCTTCCAATGTCTGCCTGTGAGCCTGGCTGTCTGGCCCTACCAGGCATTGAGGAGATCCCAGAGCCGGCCAAGTTTCCTCCTGATGCTCCTACTGCGCCCTAAGCTTCCCCTGGACCGGAGTACTGAGTGGGGGTAGGGGTCGGGTAGCCCTGCCTGGTGGCTTCCTGGAAGTCAAGTGAAGTTAACAGTCCGTCCCTGGCCCAGGGATAGGAGGCAAACTCTCCCCGGCAACCGCGGTTCAGCACTGAAAATCCTTGTCTCTCGGGACCGGACTCGGGGCACCGCCCCCAGGTGCGCAACGCATAGTCACGGCGACTAATTAAGGACGGGTGCCCTTTCCTTCACTCTCACAAACTCAGAGCCCTGACTTCCTCCAAGTACCCGCCCCTGGGGGTGGCTTTATCTCCTCCGACCCCGCGGCGCAGCAGGACCCCGCCCTCCCGGGGCGCTTCAGCCCGCCCCCGGGACGGAGTCGTGCGCCGCTCCCGCCTCCCCGCGCGCCGCTCCCGCCCCGCGTTCCGCTCGTACTCCAGCCACGCCGCCGCCGGCACTGCAGCACCGGGAGGAGGCGCAGGCGGAGGAGGGCAGGAGGACCGCAGCGTGTGAGTCGGGAGCCACTTTGCCGCCCCTCCTCTCGCTGCTGACACGCTTGGAGGAGTCACCACTCCGTGCGCTGCAGGAGAGCGTGGCAGACGGAGGCGGCCCCGGAGAGCGAGCCGGAGCGACGCCCGCGCGGTGGCGGCCGCAGAGCTGATTGCACCCAAGGCAGGGGGTCCCCAGCGGCCGGAGCGGTGAGTGAGGGACCCCGGCAGCGGTGGCGGGATTTCCCGCCGCTGCTTAATTTTCCTTCCGGACCCAGAGGCCAGGTGCCGCAGCCTTGGGAACTTTTGCAGCCTTGTGGAAGCGCAACTTTGCCCCGCCTGTGGGCGCCAGGTGCTGCCCAGCCGGGCACCTTTGCTGGGGCGGGACCGGGGAATCGGGGTATATACGGCTGGTGTGACTTTCCCCACCCTCCCCCCAGTTGCCTGGGGTAGGTCAGGGGAGGTGGGCTCGCTTTATCTCAGATTCCTGGGGGGAGTATGTGGGCAGCAGCGATGCGGGGGCCGCGCCCTCCTACTGTGGGGACCTACACGATCCTTGCTTGCCTGGTTCGACGGGCAGGAGGAGGCTGATTCCGCACTAGCAGCTCTAAGTCCCAGGCTGGGTGTTTGTCCAGTACCTCCATTCCAGCCTTGGGCTCAACTTTTCGGCGGGGATCCCTCTGCAGACGTGAGGGTGGCGGGAGAGCAGAGGCAGCCGCAGTGGGTACTGCGGGAGCCGAAAAGAACACGGGAATTGAAAAACTGTTCCAGTAAGTCCTCGACGCGCCTGTCTAGCGTCTAGGGAGGGACGGAGAGAGGGAAACGCGCGGGGCTGTGGCTGTAAGTGCCTGCGCGTCGCTACACTGCGCCTGCATTCAGAAAAACCCTACCGAGCGCCCGCTGGGCTCCAGGTGAGGCTGAAGAGACGTATTGGCGTGGGGCTCCGTGGGGGAGAAAAACCCATCACATGTAAACAAACTACCGAGATAATTTCCAGTTGTGGTGCGGGCTTTGGAGACGATCACCCAATCCATTGACCCCTGTCTTAGAGGGCTCTTTCCCCTGGCCTGGGTTCTAGAACTGGGAAGACATGTCTCCAGCGTGTCGCGGGGAGCCCCCGGGCTGGGCCCACGAGGACTGCGGAATACGGTGATGAACTTACGGGGAGGTGGGCACCCCGCCGCGAATGCACCACCCAGCGCATTTCTGTGGGCTTGCGGGGACCTCAGACGCCCGGCACCCGGGGACGGAGGAGGAGGGGCTGAGTCACTGGGCACCGGGGCCGGAGGTGCCGCCAGGATGGCCCGAGAGGGGGGTGCTCGCGTCACCCGCTACGTGTGCGAGTGATGCAAATGCAGACCCACGAGGGGCAGGCGGGGGTGGGCGGCGCAGGGGGAGGCAGGAGTCTCCGTCTGGGAGCGCGCGTGTGTGCGTCAGAGGCTCTCTGGTGATGGATGCCCGGTAGTGCACCGCTGCGACCCACGGGCAGGCGGGGGCGGATGGACTGCGGCCGGGAGGGGGGGGGAGCCGGGGGGTGGGGGAGTCCGCAGCGGGGGCGCGGGCGGCCCGGGAAGCCCCGCGGTCCGGGCTGCGGGCAGGTGGGCGGATCCGCAGTGCGCCGCAGCGCCGGGAAGGCGCCCCACGGGCCGGGCGCTCCCCCGGGGACCGAGGACAGGGGGCGTCTATTAAGGCGCCACCATAGGGACCCTATGGTCTCCTCTCTCGCAGGACCTCCTTCCCGCATACTTAGCTGACTGACAGCGCGAGAAAGTTGTTTTCCTTTCATTCTTATCCTTAATCCTGGAGGAGAATTGGCGTTAGTTAATCTCTTTGGCGTTCACTCGCAGGGGCAAATTACGGAAGGCCTCCTGCTGGCGGCGAGTTTTCCTGTGAAAGCTTCGGTGTTGAGGTGCATGGGATTCGGAGGAGCTAACTCGTTCCTTCACTGTTCTTCGGGCGTAAGCCTGAGAATGGCTTACAAAAAACAATGTGCTGCATCCTTCTTTCCTGACGTAAAAATATACGTTAACAACAGCACTACGAATGCATTCCCTGGTAGAAAATAAAAAGCACAATCCGAGTTTCATTCTGTTTACTAGTATTATAATTATTATTTTTTTAAAGACCACACTTTCTGGAAATCGAATGGCAAAGGTTTTTTCTGCTGGTTTTACTGAGTGAGCCCCAATCTGCAGTGTGTGTGGCAAAAGGAATGAAAGTGGGGGGCGGGAGGGGGGAGGGCAGAAAAGCAATGATCACACACAGTCCAGACAAAGATCCCAGTTCCCACTTTACCAGGTATTATGTTATGTCACTTTGGGCGAGTGATTTACCCTCTTGGGTTCATTTTGTACATGTGAGGAATGTGGAAAATAGCTCAAACTAGCTCGGATTACAGAGTTGTTTTGAGGACAAAAGAGATGGTCTCAGAGAGCTTTGGACGTGCAAATTCTTTATGAATGCAAAATATTATGAAACACCGTCTCTTTAAAGAAAAAGAAAACAATTTTATCTTTTAAAAAATTCTAGAGACTTTCTCCAGTACTGTTCCTTTAATGAAATTTGGCCTTCAGACTCAGCAGATGTAGACAATAGATTTTTCCTAATCGTCCAATATAACATCAAATGCCATTAGCTGCTGTCTGGAGAAGGAAAGGGGGGCGGGAAGGGAAGCTCTGGATTACACCTCAGTGTTGTGGTGATGTAGTGGAGAAATCGAATTTATTTTTAATGACCTAATGACAGTAAAAGTAGCTTCTCTGGTCCAACCAGCAGACTAGCCTAAGAGCTTCTAGGGGGAAATCCTACTCATTATTAAGTCTATAAGATTTCCTAAGTGTGGAAGGTGCCTCAGAGAACGGGATACAAGTTCTTCCCCCAGATTACCGCAAAGGGCATCACAATGGGCATCCACAATGGGCGTCACGTGACTGCAAGTACCAGAAAATCCATTTCCTATCATTAGGGATTATTAGTTTTTACTCTGAGGTAAGCAAGCTTGTTGACATATTTCATAAATAAAAACATCTGATTTGTCAAAATGCTTCCTAACCAGCTCGCTACGTAGTTATTCATGTTATTCATACATAATAACCAATATCTGTGAATAGTGAAAGCAGGAGGCTGCATCAGGGGAAAACCTAGCATTCGCCTCTGTGCTTCTTGGTTCTACATTGCTGAAATTTCTGTCTGATCTGGTTTAGAACATGTATTTCATGGCCAGTTAATTTCACACAAAGGTATCATTTCTGTAAAGTCTGTTTGTAAACTTAGGAGAGGCAGTTCCCCAGCTGTGTGCAGTTTTGGTACAACATCGCAAAATTGTTTTTGTTTGCTTTGTTTTTTTCAACTGCCAGCCCTACTGAGCAACCAGTGTACAATGTTGCAGTGGATAGAATTTGGAGCTTTTTTCTTTATTTGAGACAGCTGAGAGTATCGATGGGGGAAGAGCCACTACTTTAATTCTTTCTGGAAATACGTCTTAATGGGATCTACATACACCACTTAGTTTTATCCTGATGCCCCACTTAGGGACTATGATGATGGCTTCCCTGTTGGGAAGAATTGAACAAATGGGAAGGGGTGGATTTGGATGGCTTGGTCTTTTCTGGTCCTAATATTCTTTCCCTCCATGAAATGATGAAATATTTGATGAGTTTTATTTTAAACTTGAACTTTGCTTATAAGTAGAATGTAGGAAGTGATTTTGATGAAGTCGGATTGAAATTTTACTTGGAGCTATGGGCTCTGTTTCTGTAGAGGAAATGGTCTCTTGGGTTTTGTATTATGCCATTGGGAGCATTAATTAAAACATTTTAAAAGGTCAAATTTGAAAAACAATAATCCCAGCTTACTGTAAAGCAGATATTTAAATCAATTTAACATGACAACATTTAAAATGTTTTCTGTACTGCACACCATGCCTGCTCTATCTTTTCCCATGGACAGTATGTAATACAAATCATTAAGACCAGACACTAAGAACTATATTGATGAGCTTTTGTCTTCTCAGAGCACTTGGGCCCTCTTACAATTCAAGAGCACAGTGAGATTTAGGACAGGTTAGAATAAGTGCTTCTCTTGTCACTTGTCACTATTTGAAAACCCTATGAATTAGAATCTTAGAATTGTCAAATAGACCAGTGCTTTTCATATAGTTGTGTGTATCATCCCTTCCTGGGAAGCTTGTTCAAATGGAGATTCTGAGCCCTATCCAAGACATTCCAATTGAGTGGTTTTGTGGGTGGGCCCAGAATATGCTGTTTATCAAGCTCTGCCAAGTGGGTTGGATGCCATCGTTTTGGGACCACACTTGCAGGGACCCTTGACCTAGGCAGTGTGGCATAGAGCCAGAGCCCATGGACTTACTAAGCTATGTTGCTCTCTTTAACATTATCTCCTTGACGCCCTTAGAGAAGTCACATTCTAGCTGGCAAGACCGATTTGAAGATGACTAAATTCTTTGGTAAGAGTCAATAAGGCAGGGGATTGGAAAGGACTCTGGAGACCATTGTGTAGTAGATGACATCAAAGAAGGGAGGGCACAGGCAGGAAGAGCATCGTGTGTGACTGGCCAGTCTATTAGAGTAAAGACTGAAAACCTTAACCTACAAGGCCTGCAAGGCTCTGAACAGTCTGGCCCCTGCTCACTTCCATGACCTCATCTTGCAGAACCTCCCAGACCTTTCCCATCCTGGCACCCTTCACACGTCAGCCTCTTCCTGCTATGGCAACCTTATCACCTGCTCCAACCTACCTTCACCGTTTCAGCTCCTGTGTTCTTCAGATTCTAGGCCGGCCTTCCGTTTCTGGGTACGCCTCCCAAACCTCTCTCGTGAGGTTAAAATTCCCTTTCCTCTCACAGTGTACTTTTGCTTTTAGTAAGGCTGTCAGAGAAAAACAGGATGCTCAGTTAAATTTGAATTTAGATTATAAACAAACATTGTTCTTAAGGGTAAGTTGTTGTTTTGTCTTGCTGTGTTGTCTCTAGTGTCTAAAAAAGTATCTGGAACACAGCAGAAGCTCAATAAATGTTATGAGATAAATTAATGAGCTATTTGGGGAAAAATGGACAAGTTTCTTAACCTCTCTGAGCCGTCATTTTTCAGCTGTGTAAAGATGATTTTTGTGCCTACTTTTTAGGATTGTGTATGAAGACTAAATGGGAAAATATACATAAGCATGTTATTTTGTAGACACTGTACTTTGAA